GAAACTACCCATGCGGTGCCAGGACTACGCAGTAGCAGCAGTTACTGTATAGTCCAGCACACATGTAGAGCTACTCAGTGAGAGGTTCATTAAGATTCACCGGCTTTTCCTAGGAGAGTGGATTGCGGTAATGAAAAGGCCCAGGAAGAGTCTAACATCACCATCTGATCATTTTGAAGGTCTTTGTATTTTGAAGAGAGGAGAAAAGAGGTGAAATTATTCCCTGGGTATAGCTGGGCCAATGGGCAGTTGTAGCAGTAACAGACTTGTCTTACATACTGCATTTCTCAGGCACAGAAACAACTTTGGACACAGAGGAGGGTTCATTTTTTTTAAACAGTGGAAGATCCATTATCACCACCCCACCCCCATGGTTAGGAAATAAGACCTACAGATAGAGCTGAAGATCATGGCAGGTTGCCATGGTAATATGCATTTAGTCTCACTGTTTCCATGACAACTGAAAGGCATACCATTCTGTTCCACTGAAGGATGCCAAAGGTAAATGAGCACTGATTAAAACAGGGGCACAAACCTAGGCTCTGATCAGCTACAAAGACTGAGGCTATAAACTATTACTGCTCACACAGGAAATACTTAAAACAACATGCAAATGATATGAAGGACTGAAGTAGGAAGCACTGTACTCACACAGTTCTCCAGTGAATGAGGAATCACACACTGACCCCCCCAGCTGGACTGATGGGGAGCTAACTCCCCTAAAAGCATTTCTCTCCACAGCTGTATGTCTTCCTGGGACCAACTTCTGATCAACTCCATTGGCTGCTATAATCCCAACAAAATGAAAACTCAAGCTGATGTCTATGACCCACCCAAACCAGATTCCCCTACACTCAACCAAATAAAATCAGTCTTAATTGAATCCTAAACACTACCTATAGCACATGCCTCCATTCCAGCCCCAAGCTAGGTGGATGCTAAATCCTGCAGCCGATTCAAATCCTAGGGTCTCAATCAAACTAGCTTCCTCTCTGTATATGAGCACATTCTGCCTGAAAAAAAATGAAGAGTTGCATCCAATAGAGATTTTCTATTTGGTTCTATAAAGGTTAAGTACTCAGATGCTTATCTCTTGTGGCACAGCAATTTGTTGTTTGCTCTAGTGGAAGTTCTGTCTTCTGAACTCACAAGTCTCTCCCTGTTGGTTGACAGTTACACTGATCCAGTGTCATGGGAGTTCATAGCTGCAGAGAAAGGTGGTCAGGCAGCTAGGGTCAACTTATGGAGGAAAATAATTGTTGGGTCAAAAACCTCCTAACTTTTTATGGAAAAACAGAACAAGTGAAGAGGGGAGAGCATTACAATGGAGTGCCTACAATAACACACAATGCTAAAAGGATTGGGTGTTGTGTTTTACACCCACCAAATCCTTTTTAGGGTATGTAACTTCACTCCTAGGTCTGAGTTGTAGTAACGGAGTCTGGAGATAGAGACTGTATGGCTCAGCCTCTTCCATGGGTCTCAAAAGGAAGGCCTACACCATTTCAGGGTATGTGCACTCATTCCTTTTCTACCTCCAAGCAGCTGCAGGCATATTTGAGGCATCTAATACCACTGATCAACAGAAAGGCCCACCAGGAAAAATGTAATTTACTTCCCTTATCAATGATAAAGGTGGAAGCTTTCCCCACAGCAAAAAGTGTCATCTCTGTACCAGGGCCTGGTTTAAGGCCTGATAAAGATACAGGGCACTAACAGTTGGCATGAGCCACTAAATCTCAGACCTTCAGTGCAGAGTACTAGTGGAGTCAGATATAAGCAGAAGACTTATCTGCCATATCTTTTCATCAAGTATGTCTCACATCCTCTTCCTGGACAGTCACAGCTTCTATCCCCGACCCAATCACTCAGCTGTCCTTGAACCTATTGCACATACCCTTCTTCTTGACATTTTATCCTAACCTAGCTTCTGTGAATACCCTGCTTGGTTCTTCTACCTCTCTGGTCACTTCTTTACTGTCAAGGGAGGCATAGAACACAACATTCCTCTCCTGCTTACTGTGGAAGAAGATGTAGGTAAGTACTCATCCTCCAACTTTTCATCTTCTCTGAGGTCACAAAGTCTGCCTATCCTCCCCTACCCCCCTCTTCTAGACACTTGCATTAGGTGACAGTTGCTCTGTGTTCTAGGCACTGCCTTGATGCTCATAACCCTCATCCACCATCCTGCTCTTAACTCACCTTGCTCTACCAAGGCTTTTCCTGAATGTTACCTGTCAAATGCACATAACAGACTAAAGCAAACTTTTAACCTAACCTCACTCACACTCACCTCCCTCTGACACTGGACTATGTCATCTGCCTTGCCCAACAGGCTGGCAACTTGAGCATATTTGCCCAATAGATCTCTAAACCTCCCAGTCAAAACTTACTCAGTGCATTCCTTGTTTCACTTCCATTACTACAACCTTCATCTTTCTGACTTCCCAGACTGACACTAAGTGAATAGGAAGTAGACTAATGATTGCTAGATCTCAGACACATTTAATCCTTTTTCTAGAGTTGGCAGAAGCCTGAAGGGAGCCAATTCTCCATTTTCATTTGGACTGTTTGCATCACTGCATTGGTGGAATGCTGCTGTAAAACTAGTGATTCTGGCCAGCACAGATGGTTTCCCTTGACTGAGTTAGAAGTAGGACAATGAGACTTTTTTTGTAGATCCCAGCATTGGTCAGGTTGCCAGAATCTCTCTGATCTCCAGAACAGCCTCTCTTGCGCCCAAACCAAAAAAAATGTTCTTACACCAGTGCTGAACTGGTCCCTGGACAGCAGAAGCTGCAACATCTTTGCTCGTCAGAGGACCTAAGGAAGGGCACTCTACCCAGACCCCAGATTTCAGCTGAAGTTTTCACAGAACTCAAGCAATCCCACTCCTAAAGAGTAAGGGAGCCACCTAGTGATTTTACAGAGGTACTGCTAAGATCACTCGAGAAAAATCACAGATGTGGGTTTCCTACATGGTAGGACAGAAATAGCTACTCATGTCACTTAACAAAAGGGATGAAATTTCATCCTTTAAATGTTACTCAGGGGGTGGTTTCTGTGAAAGGCAAAAATTGCTTGTATGTGTAAGTGCTTTCTTAGACCATCGTGTCAGTGAGAGAGAGAGAAAGTGAGTAAATGGTTCTTCCTCATACAGTGCGAAGCAAATAAAACAGGTAGGTATAAATTCCATATAAAAGAATCACAGACAGACTTGCTCAGTTAAAAAGACTCCATGAAGTCAGATTAGTTTAGTTAGATTTCATACTTCCCCATTACTCACTGCCATGTTTGCATTTTCCAAAAAGGCTATGAGACGGACCTGTCTAAGGCTGAATGGTATTGGTCTCAGACCAAGCACTTTGCTTCTTAACATAGAAGATTAAGCTACAGATAAGTGACTGGAGGAAGTTTTATTCCTCATAAAAGAACAGTTAGTCATAAAGCTGTGTACCTACACTAAGCTTTAGATCTGACCCTTTAAGATGTGCATAAGATTAACTGTGATGTGATGGATAGGACACAGATCTAAAAACAGAGATGATGTGCCCTTCCCAGCTGTGTCAAAATATTCCAATGGGAGTTTAGACAAGTGTCTTCAGCTGCCCCATCCATCAAATAGGACAATATTACAGTCAGCTCTCCAGGTGCGTGACAGAATTAAATGAAGCTCATCAATTTTGGGAAGCAATTAAAACCAGTTAGGGAAAAGGTAAGATCAGAACTCAAGCCCTCTCAGATCCCAACCTTGTGCACATTCCTCCAGGCCAAAAAGGAGCAAACAGTAATGGTCTCCCAAAGCACTTAAGGGGTGGAGCAGGAGATACTGACTGGCTGGGTCCCACCCAGTGCAGCAGCAAGATCTGTATGCAGATATTCAGCTGCACACCCCCACACAAACCCCTCTCAGGCAAGTATTTAGCAAATTTAACAAAAAAGTAGCTTGCTGCTTGTTATTCTATTCTCAAAGGCACAGTTGTCACTTGCTCTAATCCCACTGGGTTACTCCACAGCAAAGTCATGCAGTTCCTCCAGTTTGATCGGAAACTGATATTTTTAAATCCCAAGTAATTTGGCTGCAGAGCCATTAAAGATCTAAAGACATGATAGGAAAAGCTAAACTTCCCCATCTCTTCTCACCCAGAAGCAGATGGAGCTACCCGGGCCCAAGCTTAACCAAAATTCATCCTCAGCACAGGCTATGCATGTAAAATTTCACTTGAACTGTGAAAATTTCAGGAAGTTGCAACTGAAACAGAGTTTACAACACAAACCTCTAAACTCTCTGCCTTCTAGGGTGGTTGCCCAGCACTATTTTATGAAGGGAAGAAGGGATTAGTTATGAAAACAAGCAAGGAGAGAGATTCAGTTATAAGGCAAAACTTGGAACAAAGTTTCTCAGCTGATTAAAATCCATGTTTGGTGCAGGACAGAACTCCCAGTTGTGACTACAGGCACTTATCTCCACCTTTCAACATAAAGTCCTGTCCCTGTTTGCTGCTGGCAAAAAGGGACAACATAAAGGACACCTGCTGGCTTGTGCTACTTTTTTAAATCCAGAGAACCAGGTTGAGAAACAGATCAAGTTATGTTGTTTTTAAAAGTACTTCAATTATTAAATCACTCCCTACACACATCCTTCTGCCTCGCCTACACAAAGCAGAGAGCACCATCTCCCCATACATGCTGACAGCACAGCAGAACTGTCTGCAGCCTCCTGGAAGCAAAAGGGCCAGAGGAGCAGGGAACAGTGCTCACTGCTGAAGATCTTTGTTAAGAAGATCTCTAGAACAAGTTATTTGGGATGGTTCACAGCCAGGTGGAGAAGGCAAAGCAAGAAACCCTGGGTTGCAGGAGAGGCACCCAAGGAGTCCTATAGCCAGATGGCTGTAACAGGGGGAGGCAATAGCACGTCAGCATGCATTTTAACTGCAATTGGAAATGCATGAAAATATAAACAATGGGAATTTCAAGATTTCTTAAAAAAAAAAGCAAAACCTCTCAACAAATATTTATATGTACAAGCAGTTCCAGCAAAACAAGCAGTTCCACACACTGGGGAAGGTGGGCCGGGGAGGTTAAGGAGATTCGGCACCACAGCAACTTGGTACACTGGCCAGCCCACAGGACTTTGTAGAGGACAGAGAATGTTCTCTTGTGTGTACTGAAGTCTACTTCACATTCTTGAAGGGAGAGTTCAGTGGGGCCTGGCTGCATGCTCTGTTCAGACTGAAACACAGTTGGGATTGTTTGCAGCAACTGTGTAATGGACTGAGGAGGATGGGGGAAGATGGGAAAGCAGCAAGTTTGCTGGATCTGTGGCCCAATGTTCACCAAGCATCACCCAGGGAAGAGTCCAGTTAGAGTTTGACAGAGAAGGATGTTCCACATGAGCAGCCCTTCTCAGCCTGTGGGTTGCTCACCACCTGGAATGAGCTGCGAATCAGCTCCTGACTGAAGTCTACCATGGACCCTTTCACGAAGGCCAGACTGTCCACATCCACAACCACACGGGCACCACCTTGTTCAAACACTCTGGGGAAAAGAAGCACAGGTGACTTATTAGCCAACCCTCCTCCAGAGAGGGCAGACAGTGCTACAGCACGACCACCAGTTTACCACACTATCACAAACACCCCTCCCAGCATGCTGGTCCACAGCATCTCCCACACCATGATGACCCACACCCCATCAGTCCTTGCCTGTCATCAGGATTGATAACAGTATCCAAGGAAAACTTGTACTGGAATCCAGAGCAGCCACCTCCCTCCACCTGCAGACGGAGGAACTCAGACCCTTCTGTGATCTCCAGCAGCCTCTGCAAGGCAGGAAAGAGAGAGCATTAAGAATGTGCAGGATTCTCAAGCAAACACACAGACCCCTGGTCGAGCAAGAGGTCTTTGAGGGATTGGGAAGGCCAGAACCATGGCAGAAGGGAAGGGGCACCTGCACAGATGTGGGCAGGCAGAGGTACATGGTGCACAGCCAGTTTGGGCCTTACAACCACAGCTGAGGGGGCCCTCATGTGGTTCATCTGACAGATTAGGGAGGTGCTGATATCCCCAAGCAACCCTCGCATGCAGCCTGCGGTTACCACTGAGAAAACCATGTCACAGGAGGATGGGGAGGGGGCCAGAGGTGGTTGTACACTGCTGCTGTGAAAGCCTTTGAGCGGGCATAACAGACCACGTGAGCTTGGACGCAGGAGCAGATGGAGAGGAAGAGAGGAGGCAGGAGGCAGGATGCAGTTGCACCCCCCCCCCTACACTGGATCACACCCTGGGGCATTATGTAAGGTCCCTAAAGCAAGTAAGACTCCCCCCTTATTCACACAAGCGCAGGGGCAGGTCCCGCCCAGCCCTCACTGAAGCTCTTCCGGCTGCCCCGCAGGGTGGGGACCAGCTCCAGCCCGGCTGCGCCGGGGGGGGGCTCTGCGGGCTCCCCATCCCGGGCTACGAGTCGGGGAGCCCCCATCTCTGCTCCTGCCGGCTGGGCCCAGCCCCGGCCGGGGATGCTCTTACCCGCTTCGGGGACTTTTGAAGCCCGCCCCGCCCGCCCCGCACCTGCACGCAGCTGCGGCTGAAGTAGACGTGGCCCTCGCTGCCCTCACTCCACGGCGGCAGCGCGGGGGAGGCGGCGGAGGGAGAGGGGGAG